AGATGACTTTGAGAAAATACCACCTATCCATCAAAATACATTTCTCATACATAGTGCTATTGTGGTTTAGGTTCCAGTTCATTGTTTCCTGATGGAGAACTTGTTATGCCATTAAAGAAACCCACACTAGGATGTTTCCTGGGGGCTGGGTTGCATAAAGATGTTTCTAGGTTCTTTTGGAGAGAGTGTTGGATAGTTTCAATAATATATTACACTTCCTTGTATAAAAATCGTTATGGGAAACTAGTGTTGGCAGTTTTACCTCACATGAGCACTTAGAACCATCAGTCTTTCATTTCTGAAGATCTGAGACATAGAGTATTTTTTGTTTCTATCTCAATTTAAGAAATTACTGCTACATGAGAAAAACTGATAACATTTACCTCAACAAGACTGCAAGAAAACAGGTTCTTCCCTTATGCAGAGGTCATAGTGGTTTGTATACACTTTGAAAAGACAATTTACCTTGGAGTGATACATCTGTAGTGTAGATTGGCTGCATTCCAGATACTCAAATTAAATACATAATGTTTTTATTTTTTAATAATAATCAAATATGAGAATAAATGCCATATGTTAGCTGAAGTTACACTGGCATATTTTCATTCTACTTTGAGGATTTCTGCCTTCCTTATTATTGCTTTAAAAATAGAAACTGAAAATAAATACTCATATAATTGTACAAGATAAAAGTACAGCCGATATTATATCAAATGCAGTGTATACAACTGAGAATATTGTAGTAGTTAGAATTGTGTATTTTAAAACAATTCCTCAATTGCCTTGTGAGCAAGAGATGATAAAGTATTGTCATGTGGGGGTGATCTGTACCTAATATTTGAAATACAGTGCTTCTAGGACATCTGTTAAGGAAAATATTGCTTCAGTGACTGATGTTCATAGAAATAGTGAGAATAACATGTTGATGACATTTTAACAGTGAGAATAATATATAGGATAATGGAAAAGGATGCATTGATTGCAAAGCTATAATTCAGTCAAGTATTCTGATGTTTCCATAAACCACACGAGCATAACTCAGATGGCCTCTGACATCATCAGAGTCCAGATTTAGTAATCCATTTCCCTCCCTCTCTGTTACTATTTTCAATTTAAATATTACATATATTTGAAAAAATGCATAAGATTAAGTATTGTTTAATCCATGACCTGAAGATTTATATCACAAACCTGACTTGATCTGCTACATTTTCAAAGAATGCATTACAGGAACCTGGTTTTAATAATTCATTATTAATCTTTCATTGCCAAATATAAAATGAAAACATGACTGTTGGAAAACTGGTTCTCTGTGCTGACTCACACAGTGTTACCTGGTTTGCTGGAGTGTGATGGGTAATTCACTGAGGCTTGGTACTTTTTTCCATGTAAAATTTCCATTATGCAGAGATTGCAAGTATTGGCCCAAATTCACAAGCTGGGCTGGCCATTTTTGTAGGCTACACCTGTTATATCAGATACAGCTTTTTTTCCCCCTGAAAATTAAAAATTCTGAAGTCTAAAAGTCTAAGCCAAAATGTGTAAACTTGACTATGGAACGTAAGTACCCTGAGCTCTGACCACAGAAACATTTATGTGTATGTGCATGTAAAGTGGTCTCACTTGACACTCGTGAACCTCCTCCCAGGAATAAAAGTAAATATAAGTACTTGCTAGGTTAAAAGCTAAGTGTACATTTAAATTTTGGCATTTAATTAAGTATTTTATACCCTAACTGTTTGCAACTAAATATGCTGATATTAGTGCTTTGCCTGTATTTGTTTTTCAAAACTGTAAATACAGTTAAGTATGTCCAGTAACTGCCACTCTCACAGTAATTTGTGCACTGTGTTGTTTTTCTTTTAAGCTTTCAGAATGATCCCTTATCCACTGGAAAAAGGACATCTTTTCTACCCTTACCCTATTTGTACAGAAACTGCAGATAGAGAGCTACTGCCATGTACGTTCTTTTCTCCTCTTTCTTATTGTTGACATAAAAGAATTGTTTATCTTAGGCTTGCAATGCTGATCTCCGTTGATGCCTGTTAAATTGGGTACAGTGGATTAGAATAATCACTTGACAGTGAGTCTCTGGAGCTCACTTGATTGTTTAAAAGGCAGTTCTAACCATAGTTCATAACGATTAGCTATCTTTATTGCTGTCAGCAGTGCGAGGATAGGGAGAGAGATTACTGCGGGGATATAAATCTGTTAGATTTTGCTGCTTCTCTCCTGCCAAGACAGTGGAAAATATGTTTGATCCTTTATCTAGGATAACATCCCATCAAACCAAAAGTACAGTTGCCCGGCCTTGTCAGCCTTACATAGACAAACTAGCTACTTAAATTCCAAGGCAAGATCAAACCTGCATGAGACCGCTGGATCATTAACACAGCTGTTGTGCCAAGTTATTCTGACATTTTCTGAAAAGCAAACCTAAGCAGCAAGGGAGGCTTTTCTTCATATAATGATGTGTATGCTATTATGAAGAGATTGATGTGAAATTACCTCAGTCATTTATCATACATGTTTGTAGTACGCATTAGCAAAGTGTCAACAGTGTTCCCAGCGTTCCACAAGATACAGATATAGAGAAGGATCCAGCCCTCAGGAGGTCTAGCTAGTCTAAGCTAATGAGACTACCTGCAGTGCATGCAGCAGAGTACAAGAATGCAGAGGAAGAGCCCAAGCAGCTGGTCTTGCAAACACTTAAACTTTGTTCCCACATCGTTTCTCACTGAAGTGAGTGGGACTTAGTGTGAGCACGTGTGAAGTGCACACACATGTGGAGGGGCTTGTAGGGTCAGGTTAGAGAAGACAAACGCAGATTGATGAAAGGGGTTCCCCTCTCACTCACTCCATTCTGAAATCACAATCAAGAGAAATCTTAATCTGGAATCCAGAAAAAGTAAAACTCGGCCTGTTTCTGCTGTGAATGCTGGGTTTGCTGGTATTTGCAGTCCTCATAGTCTTTTATTCATAACTTTGTGAGGCTGAACTAACAAATGTGTTGCCACTTTTAAAAAGCCTATGTGGGTAAACGTTAGGTGAGAATAATACAGCAAAAATCCACTCATTCCGAGGCTCTTTCACAGTACATTCTCCCTGATATTATACAGAAATCCTTGGCAACTGACAGTATCTCCCCACCCCATTATAATCGCCCTAATTATAACAACACCTCTTAGAGTGCTCTGCCTGCTTTACTCAGAGGGATAAAGAGCTGGGGAGGGTGGAGTGTCGGGAGATTTAGGCATGACAAAGTCATGCAGAATAGTTCAGTGCTCTCCTTTCTAGATGCAAAACTAATTGTTCTCGTCAAATGTTAGAAGCAAGGGACCCTTTAACAGCATATGTAGATAGTCGTGGTTGTTATGGGAAATGCCTTTCACTGCAAAATCTCTTGGGTTTGAGAAGGGAAGGGTTTAACATACTGTGCCAGACACAGGTCGCATGAAGGGTTTTGCATACCTGTCCACACCCTTTAATAGCATATGTTCTAAAGGAGAGTAAGCTGGAATGATGTCAGAACACTGAGGTCTTGTAGGCTACCCTAATTAAAAATATCAATCATATAACTTTTCCTATGACTAGATAATAAATCAGAACAATAGGTTTGAGCAAGTGCAACCAACTGCATGCCAGAAATCTTAGAGTTAAACCCATAATCTAGAATTTTCCAAGCTCTAAATTTAAATCAAACAGAAGTTGCAAATTATCTGTGTTTTTCTTTTTAACGTTCTTTAAACTGAATGAGTTTGCAGAACCAAAATTATTTTTTGTTCTTAATATTTTGATTTAAACCCGTATAAATTCTTGCTGTTTATATTGGAAACCACTCTCCTCAGGATGAATGCAGTCATGAATATTGTCCTGCCAGGTGGCCTGCTGGATCACCCTATGCTTATGTTATCTGTGGATGTGATCAGATGAGACCTGTTCACTGAAGCAGAGAAAGCAGACAAAATGGCAGAATGGTGTTTTGTGTATATAGGTTGCCACAGGATTTGAGTATATGGGAAGCTTGAATTTAACCTTGAGACTGGTCCTGAATTGGAAAAAATGTTTCAAAGTCTGCATTTATCTTGACTGTAGCTTTGAATTATGGACTGAATGAATGAAACGGATAAGAGTTGCCCAGAACTTTTACCAACCCAGACAAATTTTCACCTTCAATCTGAGTCACCGTGAAAGTGTAAAGGATATTTTCTCCCAGTGAAATCCTCATCATCCTCTTTTGACCCTTTTAGCCTTCTCGGTGCTGCTTTCTCCAAAGTACCAGAGTGAAGGATCTTTCTGTACCCCTTTTGCTTTATCCTAACAAACACTTTAAAAATTCTTTATTAATTTCAATTTCAGGTTTTAAAACTTTAATTATTAAAAAGTTGTTACATTGCTATAACTATACAGGGAATTGTGAAATTCTGGAATCTAAAGCACATATTTGTGTGTCATGCTTTTCGGATAAGTTTTCTCAGTTCTGCAGAATTTACTCCCAGAATTTACTGTTACAAACAGTTTAGTTGTACATCCTGCTTAAACCAATCTACAGCCATGCTTCTACTGAAAGGCTGGTCTCACTGCTGCTCCTAGCTGCATGTTTCTGCTGTCTCTGTATGTCAGCATTAGCAAACATGCAGCCATGTAGCTCGTCACTAACCTGTGTAAAAACTGAGCATTTTATTTGCAGGTTAGTTTTCTGGAGTTAGTTGTTGCACAGCTGAATTATAGCTATTGCTGACACAAGGAAAGCAAAAATAGCATGGAGGGTGGATCAGAGGAAGACAGAAGTGTGATGTTTGCATCAGAATAACCTAGCAGAGGGGTAACTGCCACAACAATAATGCTAGCCTTAGGTGATTCAGATCTTCTGTATGTTTCTTTCTTCAAAAACATTTTCAGACGCATAAGAATGTTGGGGTTTTTTTTGTTTTGTTTTTACTTACAATGCACTCCCTTCTCCCTCTTTGTTCCACAGCATTTCATGAAGTTTCAGTTTACCCCAAGAAAGAACTTCCTTTCTTCATCCTCTTCACTGCTGGATTATGTTCTTTCACAGCCATGCTAGCCCTCCTGACACATCAGTTCCCAGAGCTTATGGGGGTCTTTGCAAAAGCTGTGAGTATTCTCTGTTGCTCTTTTCTGGTAAATAAAGACACAAATATAGCAGAACTGAGCTAAATATTGCTCAGTATTAAACTTTTGCATATTCAGAAATACAGGTAAAAACGTCAAGAGACCTAGCTCTGAGCAGCGGGACATTGAAGAACCCTTAAGGGAGCTAAACAGTAGAACAGTACTATCTTTCTTCTCTGGTTTATATGGCTCTTTTGTTGGGCTAGATCTGTCATGGTTTTGCCAAGAAAGATACGGTGGGGGGCAAGGAATATTTTTTTTTCTTAGGTAATCTAACGAAATAAGCTAATAATGGTTTGCAGAACCTCTCTGTTCCGTGTAGAGCTGTAATAACTATGCCACGCTTTCCAGTGCAATAGAAACTGTTGGTATGAGCAGAATCAGAGTGCACTGCTAATGAAGGCAAATCGCTGTATTCATTCCCCAAATTGCTGTGAAAGATACAGTCTCAATATTTCCCTCATAATGTTTATTAACTGCATCTAGGGAAGTCTCTGTTAATTCTGCTTTTCTAATCCAATGAGGATTAATAAATGGTGGAGGATGGAGGGGGAAGGGCCATCAGTTGTGTTAAAATCTGCTTTTTTCTTTGCAAAACCAAGAACATCACAAGTCCGGTGTTCTAGGACATGAAAAATTCACATCCTAGAAAAGTCCCAGAGTGATCAAAAAACGGTCTCCTTATCCAAGAAATGCTGAATATCCGCTGTAGTAATATTTTCTCTGAAATATGTTTGTATCTGAGACAGGTCTTGTGTTTCCAAGAAAGCCTTCTAGCTTTAATTTCAATGTCTGATACTTTTCATTGGGGGGGGGGGGGGGGGGAGGGAGGGTGGAAGAGGCAAGGCTGAAAGGCTTTGGCAAAATTCATAACGTAAGTACTTTCTCAAACTCCTTTTACATTTGCTGAAGGACTCCCTTTGAAGTAAACCAAGTCTTCTACCACCCAGCCTGGTCAGAGTTAGAAGTCTGATACAGCAACAGTTCTTGTGTCAATAATTTTGTTTCATCAGCTCTAGAAGACAGAAAATAAGATCAGCTGTAGCAAAAGATACCAATTCTGTCATAGAGAAGTGTTAAAACTTATCTGAAATGTTACTAGTCTCTTTTTTCTAAAGCCTATATGTATAGGCATTTGGTGGACAGTAAGTGTATTACACAAGGGATATGTTCTTAAAATTATTTGTAGAGGGGTTTCTGTTTGCTTTTTTCCTTAAATCTGAAGGGTATGACCCTTGTTTTGGAGCTCTTCTAGTGCAACCTGCAGTATCCTGGTGTTGGCACAATTAATGATCCTCAGTCCTGTCCTTGTGCCTGTCTGTCTTGCTCCAGAACAAAGAATATATTGGAAGCTGGCACGATGAGGTTTTGTTCTTAGAGCTCCTTCTACAGGCAGTGAACTAGCAGCATCAGAGAAAACTGGCAGCAGATCTGCTCACAAGGTCTCCCAAAGGAGGGATTAACAAATGTCAGCTGTCGAAGTCTGTGGTTCTTGCAGGTCTCCCATTACACGCTGTTTATGGAATTGCAGTACAAGGTGAGCCCATGCTGGCAAGACTCGTGCTTCACCTAGATGGGTGGCCTAGGACCACAGACATGCTGAATCCTTCCAGCAAAAGACTCCTCAAGGCAGAAAAAGCCCTTGAATGCTGAGGACCCCCCTCCGTATGTGAGGTTGCCAAAGGCAGGTTGTGCCACTGTGACAGTCCCCCAGGGCCGTGTGTTACGCCACTGGCTGCTGAGATCAAAGGTGTTTTAAAGCTACTTTACTTTTCTGAGAGGTTCAGCATAGATTTACTGGAATTTGCCAAACCTCATCAGACCAGCGTTCTTTCAGAGCCAGAACTTATTCTGAATGCTGCTGCCAGTTCAGCAGAAAGTGCAAATATTCCCAACTGCATCCAGCCAATTATGTAACAGTGTACCTGGAGGTAAGGTTGACTTTTCCCACAAAGAAATAGGAATTTCTTCTATTTGATTGATTTGTCAGACCGAGTATAAGTAACTTCAAAAGACAGCAGACCTTAGCATTTTCACTTGGTTAGGGGAAAGCATGTTCCTAGCTTGCACTTACAGTTTTTGCTAGGCTTTCTAACAAAAGGCTTTTGGAGGTCACTTCAAGGTATGAACACAAGCAGAATTGCAGTGGTTTAGATAAAATTACTGGCACAGTGTAAATATGTTACAATTTATTGTGTTTTGTCATGCAGAACTATAACAGTATCCTGTAAATGGCAACAATTTATTTAAAAATGCAGGTGCTTTCATAACGTGGTAGTGGTAAGAATATATCTTGAACAAACATGAGAGATGTTAACAAAGGAGTCAGTATTTAATTCATCAAGTCAACAGTCGTATGTGTCTGAAGGTGTAGTTCCTGGTTAAATTGCACCAAAAATTATTAAAATGATTAAACTTAAGACATATTTTCAGATTTTTCTCTGATTGATTTGATACCTTTCTATGCCTGAGATCACTGACAGGGTCTTTTTCAATATTTTCTATATGATAGATGAGATGTTCAGACGTTCATCAAGCAGGTTTCCACAGGGAGATCTTTCGTCTGCTTGGACGTCTGCAGAGCCTGAGGTAGACAACGTATGGATCAGATCACAGGGACTGAGCAATAAACAGTCAATTCCTTCAGGCATGCACCAGCCAATGCAGTGGAAGAGTTTAACAAGATACGTTTTCAGTATCTGTTTTAATCAAACAGCATTATTCAGAAGATGCTCCCAGAAATCCACTTTCTTCCAACTTTGAAGTAGCCAAGCTGATAGCTTTCTTTTAAAATACAAAATAATAGCAGACTTTTTGCAGCTCTCCCATCAGCTGCTCTGCCACCTTCTTTTCTTCTCTACTGCTGGTGCTGTTTCTTTTGTTCTATGTAAAAAAACTGTCACTGTCAAAGGGAACAGCAAAAAGCTTAAAAAAGACAAACCATGCAGATTAAGCCTTCCTGAGTGCTAGTGCGTGTTGAGCAAGTGCAGTACACTGCCAGTGATGTTTGAGAATGTGAGCACCAAGAGCTTTCCAAGGGCCACATGCTGTGCCCTGTTTCCACAGCTTCACAGCTAGTACCAGGTCTTCCACTAAACGTGCTGGGAGGCAGTCAGCTGAGAGGGGCCTTCTGTGTCCCACAGCGTTTGGGGACAGAAATTGGGTTCCTCGTGACTTTGGGAAGAGGAACTGAGCCCTTGTTGTTATTAGGGTTTCAGATAGCTCTGTTCAGCCCTGGCTGCTTGGGCTCTGTGCCTGAGATGCTGTGGATAGCCCCAGGACAGATGTCACGCAGGTAGGCTTGTACAGAAGGTGACATCCTGAACCACTTGCTGTCAGTGCAGATTCTCCTGGGACTTCAGTGGAGCTCCAACCAATTTTCCAGCTGGAGAGAAGCTTGATGCATTTTTAGCTACAAATATTTGCTAAGTTTGTTACAGGATACAATCAACTAGCAAAAAAAAATCCTATGAATTGCAATAAAACATGCTGTCAGGCAAAATATTCTTGTTTCGTTGATTTAACAAGCATGTAATTTGCACTGCAAAAGCTGGGTTTTATCCAAGTATATGTGATGCTTCAGGTGCAAACTAGCCCCACAGGTCAAGTGCTATTAAAGAGCACAAAATGTCCTCTAGTGAACCCTTTGCATTTGGCAAAATTAAAGGGAAGTATTTATCCAAACAATTCACAGTTTAATCAGAGAGAATGCTTCGACTTGGGCAAGCCATTTGAAGTATTAACAGTGAAGATTAGCTAAGTCACAGCTACATTCATTCAACTGTGGTTCATGTAATACAGCTTGATCTTCAGTGCTGCATCTGAAACACCCCATTCAGGTTTGATTAGAAGAAAAAAAAGCTTTTTCTTTGACTTGTGCTTATGACAAAATCTGATTTCCCATAATGGTGTTACCTGATTTTCTGATTATGTACAAGTTTTCCATGATGCAGCATCTGCATTGTACGCAAGCATGTCCAAGAAGGAAAATAAGAATTCTGATGCTTACTAATGCCTTTAAAATACATAAGCACCATAAATTTTTATAATTAAACTGAGTACAGAGCCCATTTTGGTAAACAGTGAAGCTGTTTGCATACCTTGAAATGTTCATACTCTCTGGCTATTGGACGGTGAACAACTTGAGGATATTGGTGAAAGCCACAATTCATGCAACACAGACTATATAGCAGTAAAATCACATACATAAGAGTCATCTCACCTTCCACTTTAAATACTTTTGCAGTATATAACTATATTTCAGCAGCACACAGACATGTAACAATTTTTAAAACCAGATTTTTCTTACCTAACTTCAGATACATTAGGTAGGAGACTAAGTTAGCAACTAGCGTATCTATGTGAGGTAATGAAACATGGCTTGTTCAGTGGTGCCGAAGGCAAGTGATATATCAGGACTTGTATCTGTGCCACTAACCTCTTCTCCTTTCCAAGCCAGGAGGGCCCTGTCCTCCCTGGCTGCTGGGAACATTCCCTACCCCAAGCCCTGCCTGGGCTTTGCTTAGGAGAAACAAATTGTCACAGGCCAAATCTCTGTGAGGATCTGCAGTAGCAGTTCAGCGGTGTGGTGGGGCAGGCCAGGACCCACGGTGCCACAGTTCTCCTCGCTTCAGTTATAAAGACAAAACCCAGTCATCCCTGGCTGCCTCAACAGCAAGCGGAAGAGAGGGAAGAGGCAATTTCGAAAGGCAGTTCTGGTCCTGGGGTGGATAGAATTACTCTCTAGAAGTGCTTAGTTCTCTTCAGTGACTACAGGGGGACCAGACTCTCAAATTTGCCTCCTTTAAGTGCCTAAATGTATATGGAATTAATTCAGAGCATGAAAAGAAATGTACATGTGTTTATATATTATGCATGATGCTCTCTTCTGTTATGAAAAAGTGTTCTTTGGGTCAAATTACAACCAAACAGAACATCACCAGATTTGCTTAATACTGGCATACTAAGCAGACTTAATATACACATCCGTGTGCTAAACGGAGTTTATATGCTTTGTGCTGACTGCGTCGCAGTAACTGGAGCACAAGTCTGCTTGTAGCTCTTTGCTGGACCGTAACGGAATTGTTTATTTTTGGCAAAATGGTGACAGCCAAGACATTTAGAAGCAGAGTGTTCACGATCTCAAGGTAGCTGACTTTGCATATTTGAAATTATTGTGTAATATCTGCTCAATTATAGTGTACCTTAATATTGTACTCTTTCTCATACACGTATAGGGCTCCAACACAGCTGAATGTAACGTAGACTGTTAAGATATAGTTAAGGTAAAGCACAATTAGTAAGTATTGCCAAAAGTTTTGGGAGTGCTTTAATTACTCAGTTCTGAGGCGCTTAGGCACTTAGAGGGCAGTGTTATTTTTCCTGTGATAAAATGATCGCTATTCACTTGATTCTGTAATACATGTCTATCATAACATTAATATATTGAAGTCTCTTTCAGAGTGACAGATTCTGTTCTGTAGCGGGAGGAGGAGGTTAAGATAAATTCCAGGTAGTGATGCTTCAGTGGATATAGCAGATCTGTAGATAGCACAGAACCATTTTAAATCTAGGTCTGAAGACACATATCGTCTCTGAGAGATGATCTGACTGCACTTATGAAAAAGACTGTCTTTTAACTTAGTAGGTTTTGGGTTGAGCTTTCAATGGCTTCAGAGTGAGCCTGGATCAAGGACGTGAGTCATGTGAAAGCTTTTGTGTAGTTTTCATTACATTCAGGTTTGTAAAAATGGGTCTCTTGCAGGCGTGAGTACAAAATCCAGAGATCTGTGTATATGCAAGGCTCAGAATTTGGAAGAAAGGCTTGAATTAGTTAGATTTTTGTCATGCTGGAGGATTTTATGGAGGAATGCAGCAAGCATTTCTTATCTTGTTGGACAGCTTTCTCTTGAAGTGTATTGTCTCCTGGATTTTGATCCAAATGTATATCTGATTTCTTTGCAGTTTCTCAGCACCCTCTTTGCCCCTTTAAATTTTGTTATGGAAAAAGTAGAAAGTATCCTGCCTTCCAGTCTGTGGCACCAGCTGACGAGGATCTGAGGGAGCACACCCGCTGACTTGACTGCCATGACATCTTCTGTGCCAACTTTTTGTTGACCACAAGAAAGCATGATAAAAAAAGGGAAGCAGTTCTAAGACTTAAAAACTCTTCATGGATTGTCTGTTCTCATATAAAAACTGTTTTGTTGTACAAAATACATTGATGTTAGGTTCTATTATATTTTGCTTTCAGAAAAGAAAAAACTTAAAAATAAACTTTTGTGTATTGCAGCATTGCTGTGTTTTGGCTTCTCCTTCAAAGCTCTAATCGTATTTTGTGTTCTTAAACGTCTGTGTGGTGTATCTGCTTCACCACAACTAGGGCTTGGCTTTCCGTTCAGTTAATGAAGCAGCACTAATAACTTCACAATTTGAAGCAACAGCATCACCATGTTTCATTAAAGAGTTCAAATAGGGTGAAGCCCTCACTGCTACACACAGTCTAGACGAGGTTTCTGGGTGCTTAAAGCTCTCGCTTAGAGCAGCTTTGGGCTCTCTAGACAGTTTGGGTGGTACACTGGGCTTCTGATTCCCATCCCCTGCATCAGTTTTATCCTCATTTGAATTTTCAACTAGTCCACATACTTTACGGATTTTATTAATTCCACTATTTGAAGTACCTCCAGAAGCTTTGTGCTTTGCCCATTTACAGAGATGGCAGAGAATTGATGACAAATTTAGCTGTAATGCGTGGTGATTGCACTCATGCTTTTATGTATTTCTTGCTCAGTTTTTACTGCATTATTAATACCTCTCAAGTATGAAAAAGCAGCTTTTTTTTCCTGTACAGATTAAACATCAGCACTGTAAAACGTTTTTTGCTTGAGACCAAAAGCTCTTTGACAAAATTAGTATTAGTTCATGCACAATTAGTAGAGACCGTGGTGTTTCAACAGTTGGCTTACTCCAAGAAATCTTACCCTTGTGCTCTGAGAGGTTTAGACAATGTATTCAGTTTTAACCTCGGCACTGTAAATGGAAACTGTATGACTTACTTAACTTCCTATAGACATCTCTGCCAATGTATGAAGCCAGTGCTAAGATGAAGAATTTGAAGTTGAGCAACTTCAGTTGAAGCAAGGGCTCTTAACTGTCAAGAGCTGAAACTGCAATCTTATAGATTCACCAAGGATGTTTTTTCAGCTCTTCCTCCAAGTAAGTGTAGACTTGATACAGCAGAAAGAAGATGCCACTTTCCCAGCTGAACTTTGAAATATGCCACATGTGACAGGATGTTTCCATTATTTTACAAATGCTGCCCAGCTTGAAAGGCTGTGATTACCAGGAGGTAAGTTTATTTATCAATGAGGATATGAGTGAGGAAAGACAAAACTACTATTAACAGAGCGAGTGTAAAAAGATGATGTTTCTTTACAGCAAGAAATGAGTTGCATCATTTTGTTTTTTGCCCTCTTGATCACATATATGTTAGTCTGGACAGGAGAAAGGTATTTGTCAAAATGAGTAGTGGTACTACATTAAAACAATGGTTTAATGTCTGCAGCACTAGGTGAAAAAAGCCCGTACTGCAGCAGGAGAAATCAGTTGTTAGAATGAGACCTGAGGGAGAACATAGGAAAGCAGGGAGCCCCATGGCTAGATAGTAAAACTAGTGAGGTGACTAGTGAGGTCACTGCTGGGATTTCCAGACAGGTTTATTATCTCTGGCCATTACTCCTGCAAAGCAATTTTTTGAAATAAGTATGGCTTACGTTTAATGCAGGATGTGGCATAAGATTACAGGTAGAGAATTGCTAGTGGACAGCATGTGGAAATGGGAAATGGACCAATATTTATACTCCCAGCTTTGCCTCCGAATTGCTAAAATAGCCACAGGGAACACCTTTAAAGTGCTGTTCCTGTATGTCTCTAGCTGTAAAAGTAGGAATAATAATACTCACTTGTTTGCCTGACAAGGGTGCTGTCAGAATTACTTAAAGTTTGCAAAGATCAGAAGGATTGGGCATCTTCATCTCTTACTGTCATACATTGTTTTGTGTTCCTTACTCCCAGCCACCTCAAAAAACTGTCAAATGTAATGTATATATAGCCAAAAGTTCAAAGGAACAAACTGCTGTGATTAACAGTCCAAATATGTAAGTGTGTTTGCATATCAGTATATAGCTCTACACAAAAGTCTATGTTTAGCAACAGGGTACTATACTGGCCTGCCATTAGAAAATGAAATAACATGAATTATTATCTGTGTGGAATAATAATCTTAAAAAAAAAATGTTTCCCTTGAACTACGGTGAACTATAGGAACACAAAAATATCTTTATGCAATTCTATTTATTTCTACTGTTGCTAGTATCCATCTCCTTTACATGCAGTCTTGAGCTATGGATTTTATCTAGAAAAATCTTTTTACTTTTAATTATAATTTTAGGCATCTGCGAGACTGCAAGTCAGACAAAAGAATTTTCTTTTTTGGGAGGGCAGTGTCTGTTGCCTTAGACTTTTATGCTTCTGACATGTTTCTTGTGAAGTTCAGTATAGCTTAGATCAAAAGGAGAATGCAGCCCATGATTATAATCATAGGAGGCCTCTGGCTTAACACAGAGATGAGCATTGTGGAAATCTAGTTCAGACAGTAACTCCTGTGAATCTTTAGTTTGCAGATGTACGGAGGGAGGACTTCTTAACTCAAAATTTTCACAGTTCCTTTTTTTTTTTCTTTAAAGACAAGCTAATACAATTTGGTTGCACAGTATCTCCTTACATTATAAACTGCACAAAACAAGAAAGCCGAGAAACCCAGGAGTGCCAGGTAGGTCAAGCTGGCCACCTTCAGGCTCTCAAGCCAGATGGGGTTTTCAGCTACTCCAAGACAAAAGCCCTCCTGGAACAGCTGAGTGCTACGCCTATAGGAAGGCTGTTTACTCTCGTTGTTCATCATTTGGGTTAAATAGGTGTTAACGCCAAACAGATTTTTGAGAGGATGGCAGAAAAGTCCTTACCCCGGTAGAAACAAGGAAAAGCATCAAAAGTTCTCCTGCATTGCAGAAGAAGCCTACAGAAAGAGGTGTTTGCAGACCTCAGTGGCTCTATTCGACAGCAACTGGGAGAGATCGTGGCCTCCAAATGCTTTTCATTCTGAAGTTTGTTACAAAAAAATGGGGGTGAGGGAGCAGTCCCAAGATATTTGGCTGGCTGAAAGCATTTCAGAGAGCTGTTAGATTCTGATTTCATGCACCAAAAGGAAAGGGAATTCCCTCAAGAAAATTGGACTCCATCTCTCAAAAAATTCCTACAACTTTTTGCCTCATCTAACATCTATTTCTGACATTAAAATGTCTAGCTAGGGACAGCTGTTTCTTCTTCATGAATAAATATATAGAGAAATTTGTTTCATAGCATAGGATATAGAATTATTTCATTTGCTTAGCTTGATTTCTATGTTTCTTCTTTCTTTTTAATTAGCTAAAGGTCAAGGAGATGCCTTTCTTAGTAATATTTATGTCTGGGAACATCTCTTCCCACTGAGTAAAGGCAAAAGCTCTGCAGTGCTTTCTTCATGGAAAACGCAGCAGAAATGCTTATAGCTGGAAGAAGCCTACCTTGAGCTTTTTTTATTATTATTATTCATATATATATACAGCAAAAAACATAACTAAATAATTTGCCAGCTCAGCTGTCATGCATCCATCGTGCTGTAAAATATCCTGATTTTCCTCTGGTGAAACGGGAGTTTTATGGGTTGGGGTCTGGGGTTTTTTTGTATTGTTCTTCCTACAGCTTCTTATTTACACGATGCTTGTGCTGACTATAAAATTCAACCTGCTGGGCAGTCTTTTGTGCGAGAGCTAGCTTCCCTGTCCCTACTTCTGATCCCAGGAGCACATGAGATGCAGAAGACAGGAGAAGTTCTGGTTGTGACTCAGCTTTAGGAGATCTGAACACAAATCCCTCAGGTCACTTGGGGAAGCTGGGACACCCTGATCTGGCAAGGGTTGTGAAGGGCAACATAAAGGGCTTCTACAGGTAGATCAGCAGCAAACCAAAGCCTAGGGAGAATGTGGGCTCACTGCTGAATGGGGCAGGGGACCTGGTGACAGAGGACATGGAAAAGATGGAAGTACTCAATGCCTTCTCCTCAATCTTTACTGTCAAGACTGACCTTCAGGAATCCCAGACCCTTGAGACCAGAGGAAAAGTCTATGGCAAGAAAGACTTACCCTAGGTGGAGGAGGACCAGGTTAGGAAATATTTAAACAAACTGGACAGACACAACTCCACAGTTCCTGATGAGATGTACCCACGAGTGCTGAAGAAGTTGGCCAATGTCACTGCAAAGTCATTCTTGATTATCTTTGAAAGGTCATGACAATTGGGAGGTTCCTGAGGATGGGAAGAGAGCAATAGTCCCTCCTGTCTTTGGGAAGGGCAAGAGGAGGATCCAGAGAACTACAAGCCAGTCATCTCACTTCGGTTGCTAGGAAGACAATGCAGCAAATAATCTTGGAAACCTTTTCCAAACACTTTAAGGATAATAAGGTTATTGGTAGAAGTCAGCATGGATTTATGAAGTTAAAATGGGGTTTGACCAACCTGAGACCCTTCTACAATAAAGTGACTAACTCTGTGGACAAGTGGAGAGTAGTGGATGATGTTTATTTTGCCTTCAGTAAGGCTTTCAGCACTGCCTCCCCTAACATCCTCCTAGACAAACTGATGAAATAAGGACTAAATAAGTGGATGGCAAGGTAGACTGAAAATGGGCTGAACTGCTGGGCTTAAAGGGCTGTGATGTGTGGCACAAAGTCCAGCAGGAGGGCACCATTAGCAGTGTGCCCCTGGGCCCCAAGTTCACAGCTTTGTTGATAACGTGGACAACGGAACAGAGTGCCCCTCAGCAAGTTTGCAGACATCACAGCCTTGGGAGGCGTAGTTGATCTCCCTGATGGCTGTGCTGCCAGTCAAAAGGACCTCAACAACCCAGAGAAGCAGGCAACCAAGCATCTCGTGAAGTTCAACAATGGGAAGTCAACATGGATTCACCAAAGGGAAATCAAGCATGATAGCCTTCTATGATGGAATGACTGGCTGGGTAGATGAGGGGAGAGCAGTGGATGTCGTCTACCTGGACTTCAGCAAGGCTTTTGACGCTGTCTCCCATCACATCCTCATAGGTAAGATCAGGAAGCGTGGGTTATGTGAGTGGACGGTCAGGTGGATTGAGAACTGGCTGGATGGCCGAGCTCAGAGGGTTGTGGTCAGTGGCGCAGAATCTAGTTGGAGGCCTGTAGCTAGCAGTGTCCCCCAGGGGTCAGTCCTGGGTCCAGTCTTGTTCAATGTATTCATCAATGACCTGGAGGAAGGGACAGAGTGCACCCTCAGCAAGTTTGCTGATGATACTAAACTGGGA